TCAATTCAGTAGTCAGCTCCTAAATGGTTAGGCAGCCAACTCCCCACAATTCGGCAGCCTGCTCCTAAAATTCAGTAGCCGACTCCTTGAGAAATTTGATTTTGACTAAACACATCTACGTCCTATTTACTCCATCTCTCACTCAACTAAAAGGGTCATAACCTTTGCTACTATAAAGTGTCACACTCTTGAGGTCAAGACTTCCGTTGTATGTTTCAATATCTCTCAAAAGATATTGGAATTCATCGTGTTAGAGGGAGGAGGGTTGAAAAACAAAAAGATTTAAAAGTCTATTCACCCCCCCCCCCCCCCTCTAGACTTTTACCTCACTTGGGACCATCAGGTACCAGGTCCCACGTATAGGAAAGTCAGGATCAAAACCGGTTGGTCCCAATCGATCTCAACGGTTCGTTTGACGAATTCTTTTCTCATTCCCTATTGGTTGACAATTCAACGGCTCTTTTAAAACTCTTCACTTTAAAATGATTTCAAAAAACCAAGACCGAACCACCGGGTTATTGGTCGTCCAGGAAAGGGCATGTCGAGTCATTGACAGGACTGGCTCGGGACCACCCGGTTGTCGATCAGACCGTTGGATCATTGGCCGGACAAGATAGCGACCACCAGGTTGTTGATCGGATAATACGAGACTAATGGGTGGTTGACCGGACAGGACAGAGACCGCCGAGTAGTTAACCAGACCGGATGAGGGTTGCCGAGTCATTGACCAGACCATATCGGACCAGGACTGCTCGGGCGTCGACTAGACTAAACAAGTACGCGCGTGGTCTTAGATCAGACCGAATAGGGACCTTTGGGTCATCGATTGGACCGGACAGGGACCGTCAGGCCGTGGACCAGACCAAGATTGTTGAGTCGTTGGCCGGAGCAGACCAGACTCGGATTGTTGGGTCATCGATCGAAGCAGACAGGGACCACTGGGTCATGGATCGGACAGGGGATGCCAGGTCATGGACCGGACTGGATAGGGACCGTTGGTTCGTCGATCGGATTGACAGGGACAGCCGAGTCAATAACCGGACCGGACCACCGATTAATTGACCAGAGATGATAGGGAATGTCAGGTCATTAGCCGGACTGGACTAGAACTGACACTGGAGCGGGACCGTATCCACCACTAGGCGTAAGTATACAAATTCATTGCAGCGCCACTGCAGCATCCGCGTTTCCAAATTTGGAAAACTAGTAAAAGTTACTTCTCCAATTCATTAAGGAAAACAGAGACATATCTCATTTTTTGGGTTTTGGAAAACAATTTGGTAAACGCATTTCTCTGTTTTCCTTTCTCCAGTTTTTCAGCAATTTTCTTTGGTAAACACGTTTTCTATTTTCCTTTTTCCAGTTTTCTAGTTTTCCAGAATACTGCAAAGCATCTCTGTTAGTAAACAGGCAGAAAGTATTTATAGATTCTTTTAACCCCAGCCCTAGACCCCACCGGTTCAGATCTATGTATATGTATATGTTTAATGTCCACTCCGTCCCAAAATTAATGTCCAACTCACTTCAATATTAATGTCCAGCCCAGCTCAAATCTACTAGGCTACTAACATACTCGTACGTTCCAAACTTATTCCACTTGCGGGCTCTCTACTTGCGAACTGCGAAACACCAAGCGGAAGATGGAGGGAGTCAACTCAATAAAGCGACGAAGACAAGTCACGAACACATGCGCCCAGCCGCGCCGCCACCCACTGTCCAGGTCCCTTCGTCAGCCATCAGCGTCTCCCTGAAGTCCGACACTCCAGCCTGCAGCTCGTTGCAGCTTTGCCTCTCTAGTCTCCCCGAGTTCGATTGACCGCCTCTAGCTGAGTCTAGCTGTCTAGCTGGCCACGTATACTCTAGTACTCTTATAATCTATTATTTTGTGTATTACTTTTTTTAGTTTTGTAATTCTATTTGATTATTGATTGAATAAACTAGTGTTTATTCATTATAAATTGAAAATGATTAAAGATAGAAATAAAGAATAGAGAATGATATATTTATTATATGGAGTACAATTGAATATTAGAAAATGATTTATTTATTATTTGTATGGGAAAATGTACAAATATACTCTTCTAGTATGGGTGTGAGCACAAATATACTCTTGTTCTATTTTTTTTGAACAAATATACCTCTTAAGTTTATGTGGAAGTGCATATGTATCCCTAAACTTTTAAAAAGTGCAAAAATATCTATCGTGTTCCTATAAAGGAGAAAATTTACCCTTATTGACTTTAAATAGATAAAATAAATTTCAAATAACACCAAAAATAAAATATAAATTTTAAATTGAAAAAAAAAACTATGTATGTCCAATTCTCCCTTTTATTATTTTTATATCAAAATTTAATATTAGTAGTATAAAATACTATTTCAAAACTTTACTATATATTTAATATTCTTTCAGGAAAGTATTAATATATGTGTTGCAATGTAAAAAAAACCATTAATTTTTGTATTCTTTGCACTAAAATTACATATCTGTATGATGATAATAGTCCAAGATTACAAAATAGTGAATTTAATTTTTAAAACAAAATCAAAGAATATAACAATATGCTCAAAATTTCGCTACAAAAGTAAAATTAATATTTAGGAATTTGTAGTGCTTCATTTACGACAGAAAAATAATAGTTTTGCAATTTAAAATTAAATAGTTAATATTTTAACATAAAAATAAATCTTATTTTTAACTCTTTAATCTTTTATTTTTTAATTTCAAATTTAAAATTTATTTTTAGTGTTTTTTAAAATTTATTTTATTATTTTTAAAGTCAATAAGTATAAATTTGCTCCTTAATAGGAACAAGAGGGGTATTTTTGCACTTTTTAAAAGTTCAAGATATATTTGCACCTCCACATAAACTACGGGGATATATTTTTCCAAAAAAATAGAAGAGAAATATATTTGGTCTCACACCCATACTACAGGGGTATATTTGTACCTTATCCCTTATTCGTACATGTAAGAAAAAATTAAAAATCTCAATTCAATTTTGAAATTGGAAATGTTCATTAGTTTTATGTACAACAATTGTTTTTACTTATTAATTTTATACTTGAGAAAAATACGGAAAAGATACATGTGATTGAGCCCGTTTTCAGATAAGGTCACATGTTTCATTTTTATCAAAGTGGTTCATGCATTTGAACCCCGTTATCACAAGGGTCTTGACGCCTGACGCCGTTAGAAATTGGCGGAGGAAGACGATGAACATCAACTCCAATTTTCAAAAGTACATTGAAAAATAAAAGAAGAATATTAGAAGGTGCGCCAACAAGATGACCGTCAGACCATCTTTCTTTTTTGTTTGCAGCCACTCTTGTCACCGGATTACCGTAAAGTCCACCGGAAAAGTGATATTAGCGAATTCATTTTTAAAAAATATTCCAAACAAATCCGAAAATCCAAAGACAAAAGTGGTTCGGAGGTCATCTTGACGAAGTGCACCTTCTGATATTTTTTCGATTAATTTTCCAGACACTTTTGGAAATCAGAGATACTATTCATCGTCTTCCTTAGACATTTTTAATGGCGTTAGGTCCCTATTGTGATAACGGAGTTCAAACACATGAACCACTTTAATAAAAAAAAAAACGAAACACGTGACCCCATGAAAACAGCCCAACCACAGGTACATTTTTCGTACTTTTCCTTTTATACTTTTACAGAAGTATTTTAATTCATACCAATAAATACTAGAATCTTTAAAAATCATTAATAAATTTATAAAATCGCACTAAAAACGTTTAAATTCTAAGTTATATACGTAGTGTCATTTATTCCTATAATTTATAAGTTATCAATAGGACCGAGTCCAGATCAAACCGAATATCACGATGCTCGTACTCGGATTGAATAAATATTCGAACTCAAAATTTAGTCCGTGTTCTAGTTCGAAACTCGTTAAGCTTAAGTCGTTCAATTAAATTCAAAATCATGCTCGATATCAATTAGTTCAAAAAAGTTCGGCCCAATGACAACCCTAAACTAAACTTTCTGTCCAGTAACACAAATTTTTATTGTTTAGCCCACCCTACCCCTCATTCCTGGTCCACCCCTAACCCCAACCCCAACACCTATATAGTCGTTTATAGTGATTGGAACGGCTATAAGCCCCCCACCATCCACCCACCCGAAAAGTAAAAAAAAAATAAATTTGACCATTGGGATAAAAACCAGGACCACCCGGTCCGGTCCCCAAAAGCCAAGCCTCGGTCCAGTATCGCCTACTAACCAGTCGGGTACTCAGTCTTGCACTACTAACCAATTTGACCATTGGGATTAGAACCAGGAGTCCAGGACCACCAAAACCGATTTCCCGATTCCGGTCCTTTACACTACTGAACTCGGTTCCAAACTATGGCTAGACTCGGGCCGGGCGGCCCGACCCGGAACCGACCCGGCCCGTCCACTGTAGCAACCGGCCCGGCCCGGTGGCCCGGTCCACCAGCGGTTCGGGTCGAACCGGCCCGGTGGATACCGGTTCCGGACCCGGGCCCTCCATTTGGTGAACCAGCCCGGCCGGTTCGGGCCCGGTCCGGGCCGGAATTAAATTTTTTTTTTTTTTGAAATTTTTTTAAGTTTTGGATTGGATTAGGTATTTTGGGCCATTTGAGGTGGTTTGGGGTGGTTTGGGGTTGAGGGGGAGGGTTAGGGGTTAAATAAAAGAAGCCAAAAAAAAAATACCCGGGTGAAACGGCCCGGCCCGGAACCAGACCCGGAACCGCCCACCCCCGGTTCGGGCTCGGGCCTCATATTTCTGAACCGAGGCCCGGACGGGCCCAGGCCCGAGGCCCGAACCGGCCCAGTTCAGTCCAGCCCTATTCCAAACTAGTCCAGGACCGCCAACCGAGTCCACCCCTACTCCCAAGTAAACTCCCAAGTAACTATCCGACCAATGTCGGCACTGGAATGTCATTTTTTTCCCCATTTCTTTATGCAGTTTTGTGTATATTCTATCGAGTTATGCTATAAGTAGATACACTATTACAAAAGCTCTTACAAAAAGGATGTGGCAACACCACATTAGTTAACACATCACATCACGTTTACATATGTTTGCAAGTATTTTTATATGTTTGTATGTTACTGCACGTAGCATTTTCCATTCAATCCTATTGTTTCAAAACAACAGCTAAATTTTTCAGAAAAAAAAATCCATGAAAGAAAAAAGCACATGCATGCAGCCGCTAACAAAAAAGAGCACATGTATAAAATCAAAGCTATATCTGCAACACGCATTCAATAGCCATGAACAGACGGATTATTGAGCGGGGGATGGGGTAAACCATAAGTTGTCATCACACACGGGACTACGGGAGCAAAGAAGCAAGGACACCAAAAGGTGATTGCAAAAGACATGAGAGCTCATGTCTCACTAGAGCTAATCCATATGCACGAGAACAAAGAAATGTAGTGTGATGCCTCCTCTAGTCCTCTCATAGGAAATGTCCCAAAAGAAGGAATGAACAACAAGTCCGTACTTCTTTTCTACATCTATCAAATCTCCATCAGATAAAAAAAAAACACCGGAATGGAAGAGAAGGAAGCCAACTGCATTCATCCCACCAGCAAATCAGACACAAAAGGGGGGTGCCGAGCAACTACCATATGGAACAACAACAACAATAAAAACAGATTAGGCAGAAGCAAGCACACATTACAACAGACAAATATGGAGAAGGAGACGTGATATTTACCATCAGAAGACAGGCAAGAGCCATCCTCTTCCTTTGGCACTGCTCACGTAAAACTCAAACTTCTCCTTTGCGTTAGGAATGTCCAGTGCCAGATCATCCAGCCCATCCTGGATCCTCCCAAATCCCTTTGTCATCTGATTGATGGTGATCAGACCCTCATCAAAGCACGCCTGTAGCAGGTCCAACATCCCATCATTCTTCTTCTCCATAGCCATAACCAAAGCTTTCTTGACCACCTCGTGGTTGAAGAAGGGCATGTCGAGATCGCGTATGCATTGACAAGCCTCACTAATTACACCCCCGCTTTCAAACTCCTCGAGGAGCTTCATGATCTTGTCCTTAGCGTCCTCCACGGCCCAACCGGTCCCGCCTCCCCAGCACCTCAGGATCCTCTCCCCAGCGTGGCGTGCAGAGATCAGAGATTGAGCCATGCGGACTGTCTCGCTCCCACTGCTGTTCGGCTCCAACCTGCCAGCGATCTCTTCCAAATTCAGCGGGGCAAGGACATCGTCGACCACTGCCCTCGCCAGGAAAAGGGCCAACTCGTTTGATGCGTCTAAGATGTCGAGGGCGGTGTCATCTGCAGATTCCAGAAGCATCACAAAACCGTTGACTATGTCTTCTGTTGAGAAGAGCTCAATGTGGAGTGCGGATAACAGAACTGATGCCATTTCTTTCTCTTTGTTCTTTCTATCCATTGCAAGGGTAACCAGCCTCTTCAGAAAGACTGGGTTGTACTCCGGCGCATTGAGATCCTCCAGGCTCCGGATCAATTCCGGGATGTCGTCAGAGAGGAAATATTCATGAATTATGTTGACGAATTGCTCCTTGTATCTCCTCAACCTTTCATAGTCTGCGTCATGGACCTTCCCGTCTTCATTTGACAAAGATTTGAGGAAAGAGGAATCAAGCCATGCTTCAGAGATTGCCTGGTGGACAATGGACTGAAACAGTGTTTTCGCAGAAGGTATATCTAGGGCGAGATCGTCTAGACATTCGGATAAACGTGAGAAACCCTTCAGCATTTGGCTTGAACTTATCAAGCCTTCTTCTGCAGCCTCCTTGAGAAGTTTCATGATGATGACCTCCGCGGTGCGGATCTCCATGGCCAAGACTAAAGCTCTCTTCACAACCTCATGGTGGAAGAACGAAACTCCTAGTTCCCGAATGCATCTGCAAGCCTCATTGGTGTCTCCGCTCTCAATGTATTCACGTAAAAGCTCAGCAATCTTTTTCTTCACCTCCTCAACGGTGAGATGAGTACTGCCTCCCCACCGCCTCTCCACAAGTTCGGCATGGTGGGGCGCCAAGAGATAGCTCTTCTCAGCCGTTTGCAAGACTTGATATCCCTTGGAGGCTTCCGGAAGCATTTTCCTTGCCCTTGCAATGAAAGCTGGAGGGAGGATGTCATCCACTACGGCCCTAGCTATGAACAGAGCGAGGATATCAACAGCATCTAGTATGTCCACTGCCAGGTCATCGGTAGACTCGAGAAGCATAAAGAATCCTCGGCTTATCTGGGCCGAGCTGATGACATCAGCATAAAGGGCCGAGAGCAAGACAGAAGCCATCTCTTTTTCCTTGTCATGCCTATCCATTGCCATGGAGACAAGACGCTTGATGAAGTAGGGGTGGTATTCAACCGAACCGAGTTCCCTCAGATCAGATGCTGCAACATCCACATCACCGGTGCTAAAGTATTCCTCAACAAGAGACACCACTGATTTCTTGTACTCATCCAATGGATCAGAAACAGCAGATCCAACAAGCTCATACGGTTCCTGTGATGATAAATTTAAAAACCGAAGGACAACATTAGCACACAAAAAGTTCTATCTAGCCACTAAGGGCCTGTTTGAAACTCCGAAAATGGTACGGAAAGAAAATGTTGAAGAAAATATAACAAATATTTGCATGGAAAGATTACATGGTTGGAAATAAAACATTTTTCAAACTTGATAAATTTATATTTAAGATTTGTTCAAAACTTCAAATTTCTATTATATAACGACTAAGAAACCCAAAACATATGCAAATTGTTTAAAAACATTAATCATGTTTCATGCTCATTTGCAATTTTCCGCGGAAAAACACCAGCCAATAACAACATTGCTTAGCATTTTTTCATTTACCTATGATTTCCTTGGGTCCAATTACACTGTAAATGGAAGCATTTAAAACAAGGTAACAAGTGTTCTAAAAAGTGCTAGGCAGAGGCAATGTGGAAAAAGAATATAGGTGCTCAAGGTAAGAAGCTTTTTCAGAGCAGAGGTGTACAATACAAATTTTATCGCAATATTGTTCAGAGTGAGAACATAGCCAGACAACAAGGAAACAAAAAGTGAATTTTTACTACAAGAAACACATGACAGATGGACTAAAAACTAATGAAAATTAGGTATTGGGGTGAGAGAGGGTGGCCAGAATGGGGAAGAAAGAAAAAGAGAGAAAAGATGCACCTACGAACATGGGCGATTTTTTATTAGAGACAGAACCAACCTCTCCACTATCGTAGTTGGGATCATTTCTATCAATGTGAGCCTCCCCACCAGTGTCAAGTAGCTTCCCCCAGGTGCCTTTACCACCACCTCCATCTATTATTCACAACGGATTAATAATACGTTCAGTTAAAAATGCAACAAAAAGGGAGGAAAACAATGTACTTTGACTCAATTATTATGTTGCATCTTGAAACAAAAATACTCCAAAGCTTGAGGGAAACAATCAAACAATCAATTAAAAAGCTTTCCATTTCCAGAAATCATCAAGATATTAAAAACATTCAGGACTGAGAAATAACCATTGAAAACCATATCCCTGCACATATATAGCAAAGCTCAACCAAATTACCACATAATGGGAATATGGAATGGGAAGGAGTAAACCTGACAGTTGCTAAAAAGGTGATACAAGAGAAGGCAATGAACTGCCAGAGAAACCGCACAATCCACTAAAACTGGATGTTCTTAGAAAATTAATTTTATGTAGCACTAAATCCACTTATTCTTGAGTCAATGACATGTACATGTATATAACAATATAACTATACAAGAGTATGGGACAAGTGGATAACATTACTGTAAACAAAGAGAACTACCCACAATTGTTAAGTAAAATCTTCACCCACACTTTAGGTGGTCTGAATGAGTACACATCTCCAAAAATATTAATTACAGATTACCTATTAACATTCTTAATATGTAGTTGGATAAAGATCATTTCTAAAGTAGGAAGAGAAAAGAATATTCCCAGTGGCACTTCAGGTCATTCAAGGGTCTATATCTTTTTTTACTGGAAAAAACTTATGACTTGATCTCTCTTAGAAGAGTTAATTGGCCAATTGCTCAACTATCATTTTCTCCTTGCTCCAGTTCTCCAATGAAGAAAAATCTGGCATGAGCCCTCTTACAAGAACTGATTGACCAATTACCCTCTTGCACATTTTTTTGATGCAATTCATCGTTAAGGCCATTTAGAGCCACATCTAAGCATGATATCCTCATCAAAAGAGGAAGCAGCTTGCACACTCATTTTCAACAACAGTCTACGCAAATTATAGAAGTTTCATGTAAGAATTGAATTCTAAGAAAAGGTTTAGTGTCTCGTACGCATGCCCACATGGCTATATTGTAGTATACCAAAACCTTAGATTCTACAACATTACTTAAAAGTTAAGACTACTAGGGTACTGCCTATGTTTCACTATTTTAATGAAAGCCATGTCCAAGTGAATTTTGGAAAGCCACTCATTAGATTTTCTCTAACTCCGCTTGTTTTTTTATCAAGATCACCATAAAATAATGAAAAATATTCAGACTATCACTTGTCATTACTCTGACGAAGACACGTGAAGGAGAGAGGAAACAACAGTGCATACCACACCTATTTGTAATGAAGCAGGTTTCCAGGTAAATCTATTAACAAGGAAGTTATTATTATTATTATTCATATTAAAAGAAAACCCTGGAGCTACAAACTAAGAAATCAAAATGCATATTCATAATAATCTGATATAAGACAAAAATCGTTTGAAATTGATACAAAATTATTGAACAATTATATTATGTAATATTGATCGATAGTATCCTACTCTCTACCCAATATTTTTTTAATACTGATGCAAACATAAACAATGATTATCAGTGTTTTCCAGATAAATACAGACTTCAGCTTATGCCTAATTAGACAATGATGAGGCAATCAGATAAATAAAATAAAATAAAAGATGAATGTGAGATGTTTAACATAAATCTCATTGAGAAAGCAAGACATTATATCCAGCTAAAATACAACGTCTCATGCAATGAGTTTCTGGCAATACCTCTAATGAAGAACACGAACGTATGAGAGTTTTACCTTTCTTAACTTTTATATATTTCCCTGAGTGCGAGCGCCTTACGTGTCTGACCGCAATCCCAGCAGTTGACGCCTTACCGCCAACAGGAGCTTTCACGTGATGTTCAGACAGCAATCCAGATGAAGACTTCGGCGAAGAGGAAAGGACCTCCGCATTCTGAGTCGCGATTTTCATAATCTCTCGCTGTTCCTCCGTCAGAAATCCCTCACCTGACGCCATTCGCAGTCGCTCACTGACAAAACCTACACGCGACACATCACACCATTTAAATATACGTCTGCGAGAATAAAATCGAATATAAAATCCTCAAAATTCATCTAGCCGCACACACAAGCATTTGAATAAATACTATGCCTCTCTCTGCGCAGGAAAAAGTGAAGAGCGCTACCTATCGGGAAAGCTCCAAATAGCTAGAAAACACTCCGTGTTTGGCTCGGATCTCGAGCCAAGAGGGAACTAGAAACGAATTCAGCAATCCTCTTTAGATGCGCGCTCAGACGGCGCACGCTCAGCTGCGCGCTCCTCCAACCTGGATCAACGGTGAGAAGAAGCTTCTAGCGATTGGTATGGAGATTTATTTGTGTATGTAAATGTGTATTTATAGGAGTAAATCGTCTGCGGGGATTGAAAGAGGAAACTGTGAAAGAGGGGCAATGGATGAAAACGACGAGAATTTATATCGGGAGGCCGGAGGCTTCGGTTACATGTACACCTCAGCCCCAATGAGGTCAACACGTGGCTTTGAGGGTTTGAGTAGTGCGACTCACAAGTCACAACCAGTGGACACAGTCCGTATACCATATGACCGGCCCACTATAAGCATGCTACACCCGCCCCCAATACGACGTCGTTCTAGTATTAATTAAAAAAAACGCGCACAAACAGCATTCTGCAAGCCGGCGCGTCTTTTCTCCGAAATGCGATTATACCTTTCACGCCTATCAATAGCGTCTTTTGAAATTCGGAATTTACACTTCTCGATAAACTTCTCACTTCACTCTTCCATAAGGTTTTCATCACCATTCGAAGTTCATTCCGCCAGACGGAAGAGTAAGGAAGAAGGAAAAGTAAGGAATCCGAACGAAGAAGAAGCTTTTGCAGATCGAGAAAATGACGAGGTCTAAAGGCAAAAGAGTTGACAAGTATTTCATACAAACGAACTATGAACTTTGCTTTTTCAAGTTCAAAATGTACGCCTGACTGTCTAAGCATGTAACAATATGATTGATTGCTTTAACTTTCAACATGCATGTAAGTCACTCTCAAAAACGAAAGAGATTGAGTATTGAATAGTGTGATTTGTCTTATTGTAATGTCAATTTCAGTAAGTGCGGCAAAGTGTATGCTTAGATCTAACTTCAATTGTTGTTAAAAATATGTAACTACAATTTTTAGTTAGATTCCTGAGTTATATAAGTACCGGAATTCAGATTACATATTCTAAATGATTTGATTTATGTAATATAGTGTTCCATGCCTCAATATGTTTGTTATGCCTTAGTATGTCGTTGAAATTTTTGGTAATATAGTGTTGCATGTCACTAAAACTAAGACAAGATTAACTTTACTTCATATTATGTAACTTGTGTATAATAATAAGTAAATCCTTCGCCTTGATCTGTTACTACTACTGAGTCCACATTACATTGTTCATCTGATTGTCAATGATGTAACCTCATGTGCTCCAATATGTATATTATATGTGACAAGATGTAACTGATGCGGTCCACATAACATTGTTCATCTGATTGTCAACGATGTAACCTCATGTGCTCCAGCATGTAAATTGTGTGTGACAATATGTAACTGATTTGGTCCACATTACATTGTTCATCTGATTTTCATTATGTAAATGCATTTCACTATTATGTAATATATGTGTAACCTTATGTAACCCTGACATAAGGAATACAAGAGGCGTTAGAGCTCCTGAAAAATGAAACTCATCAAACAGAACATCAGAATGAAGCTGCAAGAATAGTGAACACAGAAGAACCAATTCTAAGGCTAGAATATCATCAGCCAACAACAAGCAAAAAAAGAAAAGCAGCCCCAAAAAAGCAGAAAGAAGAATCTGAAGAATCAGACGATGAATGTGAAGAAGTAGAGGCAAGCAACAGGCCGCCTTCTGTAAACCTCAGAACAAGAGTAGGACCAACCCCTTTCATGAAGTTGATTAAACTGTTAGATGAAAACAAAAAAGCAGCAGTTGAAAGGATTGGATTTGGGGGACTACTGCATTTAAGCTTTGACAGATTCTATGGAGATTTGGTTGAGTTTCTGTTGAAGAACTTTAGACCAATTTCAGGACAGCTGCAACTTGCCAATGGTGAGCTGCTAGATATTGAAGATGAAGATGTCAAAGCTGTATTTGGTCTGCCAAAAGGAAATATTGAAGTTCAAGAAGCGAATGCGAAGAATGAAACTGAAGAGTATACCCAACTGCTGCAACAATGGAGAGAAGAATGGGGGATTGATAAAGGAAGCCCTCAAACATCAAAAATGATTGAAAAAATAGTTGCAGATACTGATTCTGGAGACAGATTCATCAGAAAATTTGTGGTCTTCACAGTCTCTTGCTTGATCAGAGGAAACCAGAGTGTGAGGAGCAATTTTAAAATATTGCTGTCTTTGGTGAATGTAGCTGATATACCAAAGATGAACTGGTGCTATTACACAAGAAGATCGCTAATGGATGCAGGCGAGGAATGGCAAGCTAATCAATCAAAGATGTTCAGTGGACCATTACTGTTTCTAATGATATGTTACTTTGACCGAGTATAGTTCAAAGGCCAAATTATGCAAACTGCTTTCCCAACAATTAGAATCTGGGACAATGAGAGAATTGACAAGAGAGTCAAAGATGAGAGAAAGGTGGGCTTTGGTCTAGGAAAGGTGACAAAGCGAATATTAGCAGTGGAAGAGGAAGACAAAGATGAAGAAAATGAAGATGCTCAAATGTTGTCAAAGGAGGTAAATTTTATACAACACTGTGATCTTAAAGACTATTTTATGTAACTTAAATCTATTGTTACATAACTATAGGATTTTTCCAACATGTAATTTTAAAAGCTCTTTTATGTAACGTAATTCAATAACTATGTAACTTATGTATTATTAAACAACAAATATTATAATTTTTCAGCATTGTGTAAAGGAGATTATAGTTGTGGCACAGAAGTTCAGTGATGCCTTTGTGGAATTTTCAAAGTTGCCGTCAACCATTGCAAAAAAGTTCCCCAATTCTGATATCTTGAAAAAGATATACTTGACCACAGCTGATTACTTCTTCAATCAAGCAAATGGAAATCTACCAAGTGGAAGTCAACGATTATCAGAGAAGTGTGTCCTTGAGGAAGATGACGATTTCTTTAATGAGCCTGGAGTTATGGAAGCCCTTGAGAAGCTGGAGAAAGCAGCATTCCTGAAATTTTCAATGCCTTCATTTGATTTAGGCATTGAGTTAAACATGACTCAAAATGAAGACACTCCAAAAGTGGATGTAGAAGCTGGGATGACTGAAACTGCTGCTGAAGTAGAAGATGAGATGACTCAAAATGTTGCTGGAGTGGAAGATGTGATGACTGAAACTATTGTTGTTGATGGAGAAGTGAATGGTAACACTAAAGTGGCTGGGGAGAATAAAATAGCTGCTGAGGAAGAAGAGAATAGAGAGGTTCTCATGCAAGGAATGGAGAAGACTGCTGATGGAGAAGATGGAGAAGCAAGCAAAAAAGATCATAATGAACAAGAGTAAGTTTTTTTAGTTTCTTATGTTCATTATTACTTTTAAGTAATAAAATTAATTTAACATTATATTGTTTTTTCCAAAGGAATCTTGGGCTAAAACCATATACAAGAAAAAAGAAGCTTCGAAAGTTAGGTGATACAATGGTGAATTACAGATCACCATTTCTCAAGAACAATAGAAGGTTGTGCAAGGAGTTGAGTAGGGATGAAAATATGGTTCTTGACTATGGATTCTCTAAAGAAGTTGAAAAGTAAGAACTTCTGATATTATATTATGTATTATTTCAATAGAAACACCGTTTCATAATTAACTATTTCATTTTCTTTGGAAAATATTATTCTGTTAGAGACTGTGTCTATCAAGATGAAGGAGCTCTGTTTCTAACTCATGAGGAGATTCAAACACTTCAAGAAGGAGATGTAGGCAACTCCATCATTGATGCATTTGCAAAGATTCTGAATGACAGAGAAGAATCAAATAAGTCTACAAAGAGAACCTTCATTGCGTCAACCCAAGTATATGTATGTATACTTTTTTCTTGTAAAATTGTAAAATAAAGTAGAGAACTGCAGTAGCTATATTTTCTTAAGATTGGCTGAATTTGAATGTGCAGGCACTGTTTGATTTTGCATCTGGTGACCCCATTGAAAATGTTGTTGAGAGATTGCAAAAAGAAATAAATGATGCAGGAGCAGATGTAACAAAAGTAGATATGGTAAGTCCGGTTATGAGTTATGTACATTCTGTATTGTTTTATGTAACTGATGTTAATTTTGTGAATGATGAATTGCTAATAACTCATGTATACCGCAGATACTGTTTCCAATACACAAACATCCGCACTATTATATCTACTGCTTTTACACAAAAAACAACATTGTTGATGTCATTGAAAACCGGGTGCTTCCAGATGGAGTGAGCATTAAGGACAAATATGGTGAAACTCTTGACAAAATGGTACAAATTCAATACAATGTTTGTGGGAATAAGAAATGATATTATTCAAAATTATTTTAATACATTGATTTAACTTCTTGTATAGGTCGAAGCATTCAAAGCCTTCTGTGAGAAAGTGCACATTGCAAAGCTAACAAAGTGGGTTCCCAGAATGTTATATATGCCATGGAGACACAACGGCAATCACGTTGACTGTGGAGTATATGCTTTGCGCCACCTAGAGACATATCGTGGACAAGGACATATATGGGACTCTGGATTTACACATGCTGCTACAAGTGAAGGAATAAAAGCTCAAAATGAGACCCTCTAAAAGATGAGAATCATGTATGCAGCTCAAGTTTTACTGTCAAAATTTAACAGTGAAAGGGAAGCTGTTTTGCAAAAAGCAAAAGATTACATGAAAATGTAATTCATTAATATGTTGGGTTTAGTTTGAAAACATTTATTGGTTTTATTAAGGGGGTGATGGTATGGATTACTTTAAACTTTTGCTGGTTGTATTGTTGGTTTTATGCAGTTGCTTGTGCTTGTAATGCACTGGACAAGTGATCTGTTTTGTTTTAAGATATTATGTTGTAAAATTCAAATGTATGTGGGCAACTTACATGTTTGGTTTATAATGATTTGATGTAACTCGTGTGGTTCTACATGTAACATCGTGTTATTCAAAATGTAACTTACACTCATTTACATGTAACTCGTTGAAATGTAAACTTTAATTGAATTATGTATATACATTAGGTATAGAAGTAATATATATCTGATGTAAACAATGACCACAATAAATGTAATTCACGTTACAGAACTATGTAACTCAAGGCAAGAACAATGTGACAACTTACATCTTTGGTTTATAATGATTTGATGTAACTCCTGTGATTCTCCATGTAACTTCGTGTTATTCAAAATGTAACTCGTTGAAATGTAAACTTTAATTGAATCATGTATATACATTAGGTATAGAAGTGATATATATCTGATGTAAACAATGACCACAACAAATGTAATTCACGTTACAGAACTATGTAACTCAAGGCAAGAACAATGTGACAACTTACATCTTTGGTTTATAATGATTTGATGTAACTCATGTGATTCTCCATGTAACTTCGTGTTATTCAAAATGTAACTCGTTGAAATGTAAACTTTAATTGAATTATGTATATACATTAGGTATAGAAGTAATATATATCTGATGTAAACAATGACCACAACAAATGTAATTCACGTTACAGAACTATGTAACTCAAGGCAAAAACAATGTGACAACTGCTACAGAGCAGTGACTGAGCAAACAAACTTCATTACAAAGTCTGTAAAGACAATATAAATTCCATAAAATCAAATATAACTCAGGTTGCAACAATAGTAATAACCCACAATAAGATATGCAAACTCCTCAAAGCAGTTGGTTTGATAAACATGTATAACTATAACTAATTCTGCATCTGGTTCACAACATTTGATTGCATGAAGTATGGAGCAAAAACTGGTGGAGATCTAGGCACATGCAGTAAAGACGTCATTCCTCCAACTGGATGAGCAAGTACATAACATTGTGGAACCATGAAATTAACCGTGTCCTAGGATCAAACAAAATGTAATGGTCAGAAATATATACATTAAATATATAATAAAAGTAAACAAATACCTGTATAACAGATTGTGCGACTGCTTTTGAATTGGAGGCAACATTTTGGGATTTGGAACGACGAGCTTTGACTATTTTGCACTGTTTCTCAACAATACTTCTCTTTCGGGCATTTCGTTGACCTTTAGGACGAGAGCGTGGAGGATCCAATATTGTTCTTGAAGCAGATTCATCCAAAACAGAAGAATTTCTTTGTATATCTAAAAATTGTTTAATCGAATCATATCCTTGCTCACATACTCGCCTAGCTTCAGGAAAACCAGCACTTGCACCCAATACTGAGTTGAATTTCCTAGTCATTTGCACCATCCAAACAGAATCTTCCAATATTTTGCCAAACATATTATCGGTTCCGTGCGTAAGAGAAAGATTAACATTTGGCAGAATGGCAGCCTTTGTCCATCTAGAGAGTATATAAACTTGGGGAATACATTTGACACAATGGACATTATAGATACGCAAAATGTGTCTACAAAAAATGCCAACTTCAGAAAACATCTTACAAGTGCAGGTCACTGTATTGGCATTTTGATTAAAAGTAACACTGTGTCTAATCAAATCTACCCCTTCCAACCAAAGATTATACACATAATCATCGCCATTCTGAGAGATTAATTTAAAAAAATGAGACATACCCTTCAAATATTGTTCTTGGAACACTTTGAAAATCTCAAGGGTATACACATCTCTCGCATGAGACAACAAACTGTCTTGTAGCAATACCATCTCAACGGTGCCTTCGGAACATCTAAAATCATGACCATTCTCCTCTAACCTCCACTCATCAACAACATCACAAAACATTTTGTAAAAATCACATAATGTTGTAGTCTTTGTAAGTCTTCTAGATATGGATCTATTTGTAGATTCACTTCTTTGTGAGGATAGAATACCACCAGAGAAGTAATCCTTCGAAAAAGCAGGACACCACTTTTCTCTATGACTGTACAGTCTCTTCAACCATGTGTTGTCACTGCATTCATAAATTCTATTCAATCTGAAACAGATTTAAAAGAAGAAAAGATCACATCAAATGTTTGTACAGATTACATCATATAATTACATATTTACATCATATAATTACAATATTACATCATAACACAACTTACTCATTCCAATAGAAATCAAACTCTGCAACAGTATCACATCGTTTGTCAACATAATCAAAAAGAGAAACAAAATTTATCTTCTTGGGTAGATGCATGATGTGTTTCTTTGAATTCCCATCTATATGCCAAGTGCAGAGTCTATGTCTTGCCCCAGAAAACACAGATTTGATAGCCGCTGCCATGGAAAATGGCTGGTCTGTCATGAAAGTGATAGGCTGTTTACCACCCATAGATTTCAGAAAAGTCTGAAATAACCAAACAAAAGACTCCACCTTTTCATTTAGCATAAAGCCACAACCAAACATTATATTTTTACAATGATGATTCGTACCAATAAACGCATATCATATCATACTTGTTAGTCCTATAAGTTGTATCATGCACAACTAGATCTCCAAACCTCTCATAATCGGATCTCATTTGACCATCTCTCCAGAAAAAACAACTCAGTACGCCATCAACCAGCTCAAAATCAAAGAAAAAATCAGATTCTACTTCAGCCCTTTTCTTCAATATACCAATCAAAGTGTTCGAATCAGTACCATCAAACGTTTTACTTCTTTCAGTTTCTAGAACGTTATAAGCATCACGTTTCGTGAATCCAAGAGCACTAACACCACCAGCCTGTTTTTGAAGCATCCTGTGAACATCTGAAACCTTTGTTCCACTCTCCTTCATCAACATAATAAATTCAAGATACTCACGATCAACGCCTCTATGTGATTTCAGCAGGTGTCTTTGATCAATTGGACAGAAAGCATGGTTGTGATCAATAATATGCTTTGAGACAGTCCATTCACCATCAGAACTAATAGAAAATTGTAATTTCGCTTCACAACCAGTACGATAATCTAACTTAGTATACATTTTGTTTTCAGTACCCTTTTGTAGTTTCTTCCCTTCTTTCCAACAACAGTAAGACTTCATAGTCAAACTTACATTGCCACTCCTAAACCTCTGTCTGTGTCCACGAATACCAAATCCATTTTCAAAAGCATGATCATTGTAAAGTTTATAAGCATCCTCTTCACACTTGACACTAAGCCCAACAAGTGATTTATTCTCAGTCGACTGGTGAACATTTTCCGATGAATCTGACAATGTATAAAGCATATATATGAAAACAATCAACAACTACATACTTTGTCACTGTGTTACATTAAATAAAACAGAACTTACATATCCGGTAACACATGTTACACTTAAATAAATGAGAGTTAAATAACATTGAACCGAATTACAACCAAAATGAAATGAAGTTACATGACAAAACAAATACCTCTGCTAAGAAGATATAACAATTTAGAAGCTTTAGAAATAGTTTCTTCTTCTCCTAAACACAAAATCAACAACTATGAATACTCATACAATCGGAATTCTAAAGCAATGGTATAAAACAGAGAGCAAAAGTTATTACACATAAACCAGCTGATCAAATCATACACCAGGAAAAAATTACACGTACCGATCAATTCAACATCAACCAGCTGATCAACTTCGAAATCATTATCACCAATCGAATGAACGATGTTGTCGTGTGTATTAGAAACAAAATTATCTCGCAATCCAATCGAAGAATCAAAAACAACATAATCATCGACAGAAAAATTCATTCAAAAACCTTAGAAACGAATCGAAGAGAAGGTAGAGCAAAAGAGAGAATTCCGTTATTGATGAGCTGCGTAAGTCGGTTAAAGTCTAAGAGTCTAAGTCGGAACCTAATTTTTTTTTAATAAACGAAACGACGACGTTTTTGGACCGGTATACCATGCGGATGGTATACCGGTCGTATGGTATAATCTGCGCAGTGGACAATATTACTAGTACAGACTAGAGAGGGTTAGGATGTTTCCTTTTGAATTGAAATTTGCTGCTCTGGTCTGGTCTGATCTGGTTTGGTCTGGTTTGCTCTGAACTGGTCTGGTCTGGCCTACTAAACGTCTGATCTCTGTGTATTTTATAACTACGGAAGTCAAGTCTGGTCTGGTCTGATCTGGTATAGTCTTGTCTGGGACTGAAAATAGTCCAAAAGAAAACATCCTTACCCGTAAGAGGTTTTTGCTCTAAATAGGATTAAAATGTTGCTTAAATTCCTAAATGGGAGCAAGTATACTTTTATTTCCTAAATAGGACTATTGTACCAATTTACCCCTCCATTTAATTTCATCGTGCAGCAAGCACCCTTGTTTTTTACTCACCACCTGCATAGCTCTTTGTTTTCTACTCGCACCTGTGCAGCTCTGCAACAAGGAGCACTTCAAATGTGACGAACAGAGAGAAGCAACGGTCAGTGGGGCGAGCAACAGCGAGCGACGGAGATCGGCGAAGGTGTGGTGACGAGCAGAAGTAAGTGGCGAGCGGTGAAGGAGCGTCGATGAGTGGCGGCGAGCGTTGAGCAATGGCCGGAGATGAGTTTAAGAACAGATCTGTTGTGGAATTAAGGCTCGTTGTTCTCTCTGTCTCTTGCTTCATCTTCGTCTTCCTCAATCCCTCCTCTCTATTGTGTTTCTCTCTTTTCCCCTTTTTGTCAGTTCAGATGCAATCCACGATGACAACACTTAATGTTCATCTTCTTCATTTGATTTGGTTTTTACAAAAATGTCAGATTTTATTTAAAAATGCCATTAAAATGGCATTTTAACTCCTCAAAAATGCCATTAAATTGGCACTTTACCTCTTGAAAATGCTATATTTTCTTTTAAAAATGTCATTAACATGTCATTTTGTATTCATGTTGGCGTTCATATAATATTGTTGGCATCAGTGATGGTGACTGTGGGATTTGCCATTAGTTTCGTGTATTGTTAGTATATTATATAATTGGGCGTTCATATGCCATTAGTTTTATTATTATAAGAAGAGATGTCAATGAGGAAGCGGTCCACCTCGGCTGGTCGCCGACTCACTCTCCCTTATGAGAGGTTACGGGTTTGAAACTCAATGGAGTGAGTTTCAGCTCAGTTTACTCCAGGCCCCCCATACCCCCTCCCCCATATACCAAGGGTGTGCACGGTCCGGGTAGGTCCGGGTAATTGGTAAATTTTCAAGAACCGCCAGTTCCATTTAACGGGTAGATTCGGTCCGGGTATACCAAGTTTCGAAATAGGAACCGGACCTTACCCGCCCCGTTTGAAATTGGCCAGTTCGGTCCGAGTCCTCGGTTCTTTTTTGTAAAAAAAATACGGCTAGGCAAGTTGTTGGGTATATTACCCCGGCCTACTACTGTTCAGAGGCCCAATACACCGCCCCGATACGGGGCCCAGTTAGCAAGGATCATTTAGGCCCATTGGCCCATTAGCATAGCCCTAAAACCCCCCTCCCCTTCTATAAATAGGAGGCGAAGCCTCCTAATTAAAGGATCTCTCTTTTGGAGCTCCAGAAGCTCTTCTCTTTCATATCTTCTCCCCCCATCCTCTTTATTGTTTTAGAAGAGCACCAAGCTCCATTAATGGGGTCCGAAAATATGTATTATGTAATTGAGTGATGGGAGGATATGAATAAGAAAGAGCGGGCTTGGACGTTAGCCTAAAAAGTCCCGTGGTTTTCTCCCTTTCCGGGTTTCCACGTAAAAATAGCTAGTTCATACACCTTTTATATATTTTATTTATGGTTATACCGAATCCATCGTCCTTAATATCCGAAGTTTATGTTGGGCTTCCGGATCTACGGGACAAAACCTCAACATTGGCGCCGTCTGTGGGAACAGATCAAAAAGATTCATGTGTTCTTGATTTTCTACAAATTTTTTGATACAAAAAAAAAACGATATGACCTTCAAAGATAACAAGCAAGGGGAAGGATTTTCGAAAAACTATGAATAAAGAGCTCCTGGTGAAGAATCCAGACCCAGTCAAGCAGCTGGCCATCAAGCAGCTGTTCCATGTCCTAAGATCCAACATGAACCAGTGAACTAGCCATGGAAGCCTTCCAGTGAAGGATGAAGATGCAAAAGGGGCCCACACGCCCACCAACTTGAGATAAGGAAAATATCTTTCCAAGGAAAAGCCTGACAACACAAGTGGGGAGCCTGACAAAAAACAAGAGAATGATTTGACAGTCATCATTATCCAAAACAAGCTTCACTTCCCGAATGCCGAACGGTATAAAGACATATTCATGAAGGAACATACGTGATGAACAGGGCCAAGCTATGACGACAACGTAAGGGAACAATCTCGACAGCAGCACCTCCTGCTCGAACAGCCTGGCTGCTCTGGCATTACCTAGCCTTGAGACATCACATCCCGAACGGGAAGCTCCTGAACGCCCAAAGCTAACAACCGCAAACCAGCAGCAAAACCCCAGGTGCTCTCAGCCATGGATGCCAGGGAGCCGCTATCCCTGTTTAAATGCCGCTCGGTCTTCAGGCAAACACCGTTAACCGAACGGGAATGTACACAACCAACATATACCGGCTGTGACCCTGCCCATCCATTTTTGGCAATCAAAGCAGAGGAAAAAATCAAATCTCTGGGAGATTACCTGAACGGGAGTTTCCCGAACCCCATACCCAGGAGCACGTCACCTGCAACGCTGCTTCACTCTAATGCCGGCCGGTCTTCTTTCAGGCAGAGATAGCTAATCTCGTTCGTGAGACCACCGTCCACCGGCGACCGACAAATTTCCGTCCAGACGGGGATAGCAGATCCTATTCAAGCAGACCAGTAAGGATAACAGGGAGTGGCGGCCTAAATCTCCAAAATACCGCCGTTCGGAGCCCGGCTAGGGCGCCCCTCCACGGTTCCGTACCGTACAGTACCTCCCGCTCGGTATAATACCCAAGTCGGTCGTCACCCAACTCAGTTCCAACACCTGGCCGTACGGCATCTTACCGTACAGTACCACGCCGTCCGGGATCGCCAAGGTCCGGCTTCTCCTCGATCGAAGC